TCCCATTTCTAATTTCATAATCAATATCTGCTTTTTATAGAAAACAAAATAAACAATGTAAAGTCTAAGTTAAAGTGTGAGATGTAGGTAAAATTTAGTACTTGCTATGTTTGCTATCCATTTACTCATCTGTTGGTCATATTTTTCCATAAACATGAACCCACTAAAACTATTTTCCCCTGATCGTTTCTCTTGGTGTCTGAGCTTATTTATAGCAATCATTCCCTTGTCATTCTTTAAAAGCCAGATGTCAGAAATTATGCTAATATAACGTTTAGTGACTATCACTGACTTAGCTCTTTTAACAACACAGCCATTGCCTAAAAATTTATGATCTGTAATGATCAGGAGGCAACATCTTAGCAAAAAAGGAAACAATTAGTTCTAGCCAGTTGTTTTCACTTTTTATAAAAAGTAAAAAACCTTTTGCTTTTAAAAAATGCATGTGTTTGTTAATGCAGCCATGTTTGTTCCATACCTTTACTAGAAAGATGGGTGGTATAATTCATTACTTTGGGAGATATTCCATTTAGGAACAATCTGGCTTTCCGTTGATGCCATTTTTTAAAATTAAGATTCTATTTATAGCCACTGTAGTTATTTTTATTTAAGGTTTTAAATACTCTTTTATTTCTTCTTACAAAAGTGAGGCACATTTACGTATAATAATTTTCAAAGTCCATTAGGACAAAAAATAAAGATTTACTATTTTATTTTAAAAAAACTTCTATAATTATAAAAGTGCATCGTTTTTAAGATGTAATATTCAACTTACTTTCATTGATTAACAGTTTTTTTGTTAGTGATAGCATCTGCTGTCACAAGAACAGGCTTATATTCTAGAGGTTAATATAACCATGAATATATATATATATATATATTTTTTAATGTGATAGTTTTTATGTTTCCGTTGTTTGAGTTGTATGGAGTTAAAATGTTGGTCATAGTAATTGTGCAGCAAAATTTCTTAAATACTCCTTTCCATAGAGTGGAAAGTTAACCAGGATACTAAGAAGAGAATGAAATAACTTGAGTGAATATATGATTTTAATCATTACCAGCTTAAAAAATCAAATATATGACTAGGTCAAAAGATTTTGAAAGCTATCAATTTACAAGTTTTACAAAGTACTGTGGTAATGATTCTTGATCTCAAATCTTATTTACTCCACCATATATTATGATTTCGTGTCCATTTTATATATTTTTCCTACTTAATTTAGTACTGTCATATCATTCCTTTGATTTCCCCTCTTTTTACAAGCACAATCAAATACTACTTGTAGTCAAAAGCCAGTTTTAGCATAATTTATCCTCTATAAAACAGACTTTTAAAATCAGCATATCTAACATTTTATTCTTGTCCCAGGTAACAAGATGCTGTAACTAAATTCATTGAAAATGTTATAACTACAAATTTTTTTCCCTATGTGTTCTCCAGGTTCACAGTGGAACAGGAAATTGATTTAAAACATGTTTTGAAGACTCTTGGAATAACTGAAGTTTTCATCAAAAATGCAAATTTGACAGCTTTATCTGGTAGGAAATAAACACCAATTTTAAAAAATGTTATTCCATAAAAGCTTTTTAAAGTGATGATGTTGAATCTTCTATTTTTTATGGATTTCTAAGGTAAAACATAGTTATCATTTGCCACTTAAATATAACAAATATATTTAACTCCTACAAGAGAAACTATAAATACAGTCATAACATTAAGCTTATATTATTCTGGTCCATGTCTTATCTTCGGTATTAGATTATATTCTCCAGACCTGTCTTATACATCTTTTAACTCCCTATCCCACCATGCCTTGTAGATAATCAGTAAATGTGTTAATTGAATATCTCAATATGTCAGGTTACAATAAATCACATAGGAAAAGAAGAAGGAAGGGAGGATGCTATGTGAACTAGGCACTCTTTAAAAGAATACCTGTTGAGATGATATAAATATTATTCTAAGTCTTCAGTAAAAAAGCAGTGGTTTTGAAGAAGTACTTTCAAAATATACCTGGCATATGGGTGTTGAGTAATTTATTTTAAATGCTGCAAGAAAAAAAATTCAGTTAAATTATTTGATTCAGATGCCCCAATTTGTTCAGGGTAAAAATTATAATATATTAGTAGCATTGAAGTGCTTAGAATATGTAAAATCATTTTGGAAATATTTTTAAACAGCTAAGCCCAAGACATTTGTCATTGATGTAATGTACCTGTGAGTTTAAGGCTCAGTCAGCTTACATAATGATTATTTTCTATCATTTTTATAGAACCCAGAAAATGAACTGTTTTTTGAAGAGATAAAGTCAAATATATATCAAGATAAAAGAAACTCAACATGTAAGGCCTCTTTATATGCAATTTATTGAATCCAATTCTTCAGCTAGAGAGAGCTGAGGTGATAGAAGATTCCTTAGCAGTTCATGAGTTACAGGAGAGAATTTAGTTTTCCTCACCTAAAATAGCAGCCTATAGAAAATCAGTCTGACCAAATGATAGCTTGTAAACTGGGATTTTGAGGGCTCATAGACTGAATTCAGGGACATGGATGCTGCCATCTCTGAAATTGCATATAGGGGTGTGTGTACACAGACACAAATGAAAGAGACAGACAGACAGGGTGGAGGTAGCATGGTCATAGCTTTCAATAAATTCTCAAAGCATCTACAATCAAAAAAGGCCTCATCTTACCAGATTTATGACTGAGCAGATTGTTTTCTAAGCAGCACTCAGCTTCCAGCAATGAGATGATACTGATGTACTTGATACCACAACTTCCACCCCTCATTTCGAGAGCTTACATCACAAAACATGAGGAGAGCTATTCTAAATGCCTACTCTATAAATGTTCCTGTCCACACTAAGAAATAAATTTTCCCTGAATAAATATTTTCATGACTCACATCAGACAACTAAGGCTTTGAACTCTTCAGTGAGATAGTCAATAAAGTAAGACTGGTAGAGATTCCAAAGGTAATGTGTACCTTTATATATGAGTCAGAAATACATTCATGGCTCAAGCAAAGTATAATTTAGTTTCTGTACTCCCTTTTTTAGGAACTGTGAGAATCTGTCTACCATGCTGGCCAAATTCCAACTGGATAATTACATTCTGCTTTCTTACCATGGATCTATTTTCAGTTTGATTAGAGATTCATTCCTTACTGTCTCACCCAAACATGTAGTCAGTTATTTTACACACAGAGACTATTTGCTGCTTTTCAGTCCTCAGGGAGTAGCACTGCAGTGGCAAATCAATTATTGTAGTCATTGTAGCTTAATATTTTTTACATATCTAGAAGGTTTTTAAGGTGCTATTTAATTGCTTTTACTATGTACAGAGACAATAGAACATATATATTTTGAATGCAGATGGTTTGGAGACTAGAAATCATACAGTAGGATCTTTCAGAGTTTGTATAGTCTATATGCGAAGTCTCTGTTTGATCAAACCTCCATCACGATTTCATCCTTCTCAGTGTCCTGCTCCCAGCTGCATTTCCAGTACCTGGCACGGGCTGACACATAATTGGCACAGAGTAGATGTCCATTAAACGATAAAATGAGGGAGGTAAGGAGAGAAGAGGTTTCCCTGCGACCACCTTATACATTACATTTCTTGGACCATTTACTTCTTAAAACATCAATAGGAATAAGGATTGGCCGTCCTCAAACATTACCCAATTCAGGTCTTCAGGATAACATGATGAAAGATCTAAATCCAACCTCTCAAGCTTTCAGTGAGAATTCTTTGATTCTTAAATTTTTAGTTTTGCCAGTCTTGGTAGCCCCAGCATGCCAGGCACCCCAACTAACACTTCTTTATTCTCCTCCCTCCCTCTCATTCTCTCTCTCTCTCTCTCTCTCTCTCTCTCTCTCTCTCTCTCTCTCTCACACACACACACACACACACACACACATTAATGTATGAATCATTCATTCAAAAACTATCTAGTAATACAACTATAATACTTGCCTCTGTGCTTCCTCTAAATTCAATATCATTTATTCCCTGCATCATTTACTTGGGCACCATCTATTCTGCCTTAGATGGTTGGTATCCCTTTCACATGTCTAGTTTTTGTCTCTCCAAATATGATTAAAGTGTCTATGACACTTAGTAATCTCCCACAAGTACCCAGGAAAGATATTAGCATGTATTGTTTGGTTATTACTTTCTGTTTTAATGAGAATTTCATAGTGTTTCAGATATACAACATAAATTATACTCAATGCTATGTCTCTTTTTTTCATTTCACAACTCGTTGAGGGGCAGTTAGTGGGAACAAAGTTCTATGTTGTAAAAATAAAGAAATGATTAAAATATCATACTTATCATACTTTCTCTAAAGAACTTTACAGACTTATGGGGAGAATGACATAAACACCTGGATTTAATAAAAAAAGAACGACGGAAATGTTTTATTGGCACAGTGGTTCTCAGCCAGGACAATTATGCCTTCCAGAGGACATTTGGCAATAGCTGGAAACCTTTTGGTTGTCACAACTGGGGAGTGCCTCTGGTATAGAGGGCCGGGGTAGCTTTCTACATCTGTGTGACCTACACTGCACAGGACAGCCCCCACAACAAAGAATTATATAGCTCAAAATGTCAATAGCTGTGAGAAACCCTGTACTAGAGAAAGCATTGTGGAATCAGAGAGGAAAAAAAAAATCAAGGAATAAAATGGGAGCATATTGGGCCCAACAACGAAGGAAGAGAATATAAGTATATATTTAAGTTTTTAAATGCATAGAATATTTAAAAACATATTAGGAAATAATAGCAGTGGTTGTCTTTAGAATACGGGATAGAGGCTCTTACATAAGAGAGGAGTTTTTGTTTCATATACCACTGCATACAGTTTGGAATTTTACCTTGTGTATGTATTATTTCTTCAACTCAAATTCTTAAAAACTGGGAAACAATTTTAAAATAATATTATTAGTAAATTTCATAAATTTGAAAGCACCCAGAAAACAATTAGATGCTATAGTGATGTTGCTGCATTCTTAAATTGTGTAATAAAATTGTTATCTTCCTTCAAAAATAGCAAATGTGATTTAATAGTGGACCAAAATGAAAACAAAAACAAAAAAATCCTGCTTCACATTCTTCTGCTTCTGGAAAAAGAGTGACTTGAGAATTCTTTGCTAAGTAAGACCTTTTGAATCCACTCTTTTATTTTCTATTTCATGGCATCCAGCTTCATTTCAGACTCCCATTACTGCTGCCCTAGACTATTTCAATAGCCTCCTAAATGGTTTTCAATTTCTCTTTCATTTAATGTCTTATCTACCACTTATCTACTACTGCCAAGATTAATCACCTTAAAACTCACTCTCAGATCACTCTAGTTCCTGTTCAAGGCTTCCCTTCAGCCTGCTGTCCACTGCAGGGCATTCAGACCTCGGCTCCCTCTGCAGGGCATTCAGACCTCGGCTCCCTCTAGCCTTAACTCTGGCTAATTCCTTATACACAGCTTGAGTTCCAGCCAAACCAAACACTCCCCCTATACCACACATCTCCCCAGCTCACATCTTAATGAAATCTCTCCCACCCACAATACCTATAGAACTGAGCCTCAGCTCTAATATCTCCAACTTTATCAAGCTGTCATGCATACAACAACCAGAAATAATGACTCTAAATTCTACAATATTTTGTACTTCTTATGCCACACATCACATCTGATCTTATAATATCATGATTTATGCATCAGATAACCCCTGCCAGAATTTAAATTTCCCAAATATTGATCCTCATGTGTGTATAGAAAGCACCCAGCACCACTTTACACCTAATGCTCACTGAATGAATGAACAAGATGAGGTGCTCTATATTTATTGTATTTGTTTTTCATCTCAATTTGATGTCCATTGCTTTGATTCTATATTTCATTAACATAAAACATAGTGAAGACTCATACAATAAACATGGAATCTAGAGAGTGCTGAGAATTATTTTCTTCTCAAGCTGGATTTAAAATGTTCATCTAGTTGCAATGAGGATCCTGTTATAGAGTAGGGCAATTTTTGTAATGGAAATGAATGACTGTCAGTATTTGGATTAATAGATAATCTTCTTGGAAGGTGTAAGGAGAAGGAGAAAGTGAGCATTAAATCCTTCAGCATAAAGTATGAGCTTTAATAAAGGAGCCAATAAAATAAAGGAGTTAAGAAGATATAGCAAAAGCCATATCCAGGTCAGACTCAAGTGCTTAGATTTATGCTGGACTGACTGTTACATCCTGCCCTTGTTTGTTCTCTTTCTCCTTGCACCTGGAAGCCAGAGGGCTGTATTTCTCTTCCAGTGCCATAATTCCATTTCTGTTCCTGCGTTCTTGCTGGAACTATTGCAACAGTTAATAAACTTGATCTTCCTGCCCCTAACCTTTTGCTCATCCAATTCACCCTTTACAACTGCTGCCACATGTGTCTTCTAAAATCAAAGCAGTCATTTTCTGTTACCTCCGGACAAAGCCCAGCTCTCTAGCATCATGGTCCAAGCTCTTAAGATAAGGCACATCCCCTGA